AAAAAAAAAGTCTCTTTTGCATCAGAAAGTTTCCCAGCAGGAGCTTAGAACAAATCCTATAATCGTTTGGTGGGATCAGTCATCATCGCTAATGCTACCGTGGGAAACTGAGAAGGGTTAAACTTTCATGTGGCTGCTATTAGCTGTTGCACGGAACTGCTCAGGCTGGTTAACAGTTTTGGCCTGAGAAAAGAGAGTTGTTCTGCTACATTTCTTCTTGATCTCTGATTTTGCTGCATGTGGTAACTGGGTGCGCGTTCTCCTCCATCAGTTCGCAGGAGGGGATAGGCAAGAAGCCAGTGGCTCCAGAGTGGAAGCGCTGGGAATGACGGCTCCTCCGTGAGCTCTGCCCAGGCTCCGGGCATCCTGGCGGGGGGCGGGAAGGGACAGAGCCGTGTTATCTTCCCACAGCTGCCAGGAAGGGGAAACCCTCCCGTCTCTTGGAGCACTTCCCTCTGCTCACAATAGACATCCCTGGAGATGCTTGAAAGGTTATGGTGGAAAGGTCCATACGGGCTCTGTGTGATTCATTTAACTCTTCCCTGCATTCTCAGGGTGGTGCAGAGGGATGCGGATCTGAGCACGGGGCCTGCCAGGGCATTATGTGCCGGTGGGCCCTGGATGCTTGTGCATGGCAGCTCTGTTGAGGAACAGCTCTTCATGTCCTGGAGTCTTACGTTTTAAGTGGGACTGTGTCCATCATCCTTAAGTAGCTGGGCCCTGATCCAGTGTTATTTTTCGCTGGCTGCTTTAGCAGATGTTCTTTTCTCTTAGCGTGTGTGTGTCAGTATTGCTTCTCTGCTCAAAGACAGTTGTCTGATGTGGGCCTCTTCCTTGAAAACTCTACCTGGATGATGTGTCGGCATCCAGGCATGAAATTGAGTCCCTAGAATGGCGCGGGACACATCTAGTCCAAGCATGCGACCCAATAACCACATGGGAAACTAGGCCATGGCCTTGCAGGGCATCATGTTCCATGATGATTGCCCCTGTTCCCCCAGCTACTGCAGCACCATGAGAGTCATCTTCCACCTTGAATTCCCTCCCGCTTCCCTGTGGTCATGCTCAACCTGTGCCACCCCACAGCCATCTCGTTCCTGTTCCCCTTCAGGAGAGATGGGAAAGATTGAAGGAAAGGTCACATCACAGATTAGACCAAAACCAAGTGACAAGAATATCAAAGTTAATTAGTGCTGTCTCTGGGCAGTCTCAGCCAAATACTTTCCCTTAACTCCATATCCCCACTCCAGTGCAGGTATTAACTCTCTCCTTATTTTTATGATAGCTTCAGTTTATTGGGAACAGCCCACATTTTTGGAGAATGTTTGTACTCAAGTGGCCAAGTGCAATTGCAGCTGCTGTTAGCAGGAAGGTGGAAAAGGTCACCTCAAGTTTGGTACGCCAGGAACGCTCCTCTGAGGAGATGCCTGCATCTTCCCTCTGGCTGCTGCTTTTAGGGGTAAAGAGAGATGGCTTTCAATGGAAAAGAGATCAAGAGATCTTCCCAATTAAAAGGGCAAAGGGTTTTTTTAAAAATAAAAAATACTGGATTCTGAATCTACCAGGAAAAGGTACTGTAGTTATGTGTCTATTTGCACAGCTGCATAACTACATTATGCTCGGGGCCCTGACCTGGTCTAGTGGCCAGCTAAATTGTGTGCGTTGTTATAATGAAAATCTGCTTTATCAATGAGCACTGCTAATACGAGGAGCAGGTAGTGTTGTGTTAGCCAGCAACAGGCAAGCTGCAGAGGGGTGGATAAGTCTGCTCCAGCCTTAGGAACCAGGCTGGAAATCCGCAGACCCGGGAGCAGCCAGTGAGGGATACGGTAGCACTCCGGGTGCGCCAGCACAGGGAGTGAGCTCTTAAACCTTTAAAACAGTCATTACCATGTCATCTTTGCTATAAATGGAAATAACTTCAGAAAGACGTGTCTGGATTCATTTGATGTGCTGTCAAATTAGTAGCAGAGAGAGGATGACCCTGGGTGTTGCCTGTTCTCTCCTTGCCTTTTTCCCCTCGCATGAAGGTTTGGCCGGGTGCCTTTAAAAGGTCTCTTTTATAACAATTAACTTGTTGCTCAGCTGCTGTACAGGAGGGCTGGTAACGCCAGGGAGGGCTCATTCTGTATGATCCAGCCAGGTTTTCTTCTGTTTGAAATCTTATCCTGGGGATGAGATTTAGGGCAGGGATCTCCAGGGTTTCTTTTAGTTCCTGAATCGCACATTCCTGAAAACTGCATTAGGGATGATGAACTTGGAGCTCTTCCCCCGGGCCGGTAACCGCGCGCAGCGTCGGCGCGGTCCTGCCCGGCGCCGCTTCGGCCTCCGCGAGGGCCCGTGGACCCCGCGAGATCCACCTGCCTCCCCGCGGAGCACCCGGGCACACATCCTGCGTCTGCCGCTCTGCATCTCCCTCTCCTTGCGGGAAGCGAAAACCCATCTTCTGTAACAAGCTACTAGAATGTAAATCCTTCAGGAAACGCTTTAATTAACAGTTATTCTTGTCAGGTGTGTTTGGCTTGGAGGGGGGAGAAGTTCTGAAGTGTTATTAGTTGTTGCAAGTGGCTCTCTGGAAATTTGAATTCTCTAGTCCATTGAAAAATGACTAAATAAATGAATGAATTCAGAGCAGTTCAAACCTCACTGGTTAAGTATTTTCCCCTCACCTGTTTCAGATCAGTGCACAGCTGGGTGCCTGATATCTCCACTTTGTTCTCACCCTCTTCCAAGAAGCCCTGCTACTCTGACATGTCTGGGTTGACCTCCTATATGAAAGAGCCATGCTTAAGAATTTCCAACGTTGACACCAATTTTATTACATTTTATAACACGCTGCTTTATGACATGAAGTGCTGGGCTGTGATTATGTTATAAGTTACATAGGGAGCCACGCTACCAAGAGCTGTGCTTGCTCAGCTGGTGTGTATTACACTGCACAATGTTCCTCCCTTGCCAAGGTGCTAACACGTTACCTCTGCTGTGTGCTAGCACGTAGCAGGCAAACACAAAGCTGAGACAGTTGTTACCCCTGTGCACAGGTCCAGGAAGCTGAAGTGTGAAACCCAGCTGTGCTTAGGGCAGCATAGTCCATGGAAGATGATGTGACTGCTCTGTCTCCGGTGTCCTGGAAATAAATGGTGCTGCAAATGTGGCTGTGCATGGCTTTTATCCCTTTACAGCAGTAGCATGAGCTGAAGGGAAGTTCTGGTCTTTCTATTGTAACTGATCCTTCTCCCCAGGTTGCCTTCAAGCAGCTATATTATAGGTTTCTTTGAAACACCGTCAAGAAAACCGTTCTGTTGCAGAACTCTGAATAATACCTTTTTTAATAATACCTTTTTTTTTTCCTCCTCCCTAGGGTCCACCTGGTCTACCAGGCTTACCAGGCCTGCCTGGCAAGAGAGGATCTCGGGTAAGTGGTTTTAAAATTTCTCTCTACCTGCACCCACTTGTCCTGCTGCTGGTCTCTGGTGTTAGGGTCATCACTGAGAAGTGCTTGCTTGAAGCCCAGCTGATGATGGTTGGCCTTCCTTCTTCTCTCATTCCCCTTTGAAGGCTTTTTGAGGGGTATCAGCATAGGCATTGGATAGCATTTGGCTCGGGTGTTTTCCAGATAAGATAATTCATTCTTCTGGAGGTTTTCTTTAGTGCAACATCAGCAGCTCAGCACAACTGGTAATACAGATCTCATGTCTTCTGATGAAAAATAACTAAGCAACAACCACATAAGCAAAGTGACTGAAGCTTGCCACTCCTGTAAAGTCTCCAATAAGTGTAAAGTCTTCAATAAGAATTCTTTCTTCAGTTCATTTCATTCACAGCAAGTGCTTGGTGTTACTTTTTGCAATCCTGTGGTATGCAATCTTGACTCTGTGGCTGAAGATCCCCGCTGCAACCCCTGCCTGACATGGGTTTGATCAAGTTTCAGCTCTACATCTAAATGCCACTACCTACCAAAAATAGTTTTGCTAGGAGGAGAGAAAAAGCATTGTGGCAATCATGTCCTAACTCTCTCCCTGTTGTTCCCTAGTTATGGGCATGCTATATTCAAGATCCCTCGAAGGACAATAAGCAACAAGGGATTTTTGAGTTCACCCTTCACCAGAAGCATTGAGAATCAGCCCAGAAAAGAGTTCCCAGTGAGGAAGCACTTAGCACAGCTGAGCCTGGCTTGGCACAGACCTCTGCAAAGAGACTGTGCTAATTTGGGGAGGGGGCAAAATGATTGCTCTGCAAATGTCTGGCCTGGAGCCATGGAGACAAAACAGTTCAGTGCATATGTTGTTTTGACTTTGCAACATGTTTCTAGTATTTTTTCTTGTGTCTCTTTGGGGCTTAAGGAATTATCTGTAAGGAAGAAGAGCTGCCAGAAAGGCAGGCTTAGGGGAATTTCTTATTTTTGTGCGTTTTTGAGGCGTGATACATGTAAAGATAAATGTGCAACATGGCAGGGCTACGTCAGACCTCTGCTTCACCTGATCCTCGAACCAAGCAGTCCTTGCCCCAGCAGCAAACTGGACCTTCTGAGGGAGGGGAACTTTGCATGCAACTTTGCAATGCAGAGTGCTGGGGGAACGGAAGGGTTTCTCCTTGTCACCAATGCAGTTTGTGGCCTAAAACAGGTGACATAATTGCTCTTGTCCTAGGTTGCATATTTTCTGCATTATTAATGCTTACATGCAATTGCTTGACTCACTTGAAAATCTGGAACAGGTTGCCAAGGGAGGTTGTGGAATCTCCTCCTTCGGAGATATTCAAAACCTGCTTGGATGCAATCCTGTGTAACATGTTCCAGGTGACCCTGCATGTGCAGGGGTTGGACTGGATCATCTGTAAAGGTCCCTTCCAACCTTAATGATTCTATGATTTGACTCTTGTCTTTTTCGGAGCTGTGAAGTCCCTAGAGTGGCTCTCTTGTTGATGTGGTTCCTTGAATTCTCTGTTGCTGCTGTATTTCCCTTTGTTCCCTATATTGGAAAAAGTGTCCCTAGAGTGGCTCTCTTGTTGATGTAGTTCCTTGAATTCTCTGTTGCTGCTGCTGTATTTCCCTTTGTCCCCTATATTGGAAAAAGCAAAATGAAAGCTCAGATGAAATTCTGCTTTGAGGGAATGAATTCAGTATGAATTCAGTGATGGTTCGTAAGAGGAGCTGGCTGATCTCATGATTCTATCTCCCTGCTTCCAGCAGATAAACATCTCTAGGCTTAGCTCACCTGCAGAGGCTGGAGGTTGCTCTTCCATGTAAGCAGATGCCCCTGGTTTGAGCAAATGCAAGACTTGGTCAGAGCATGAAAACGGTTGAGTTCAGGACACATCTGGGTATTAAAATGCAATCCAGTATAGAGAAGCTAAGTGGATAGTGGCAGTGTTCTTGAAAAGGGTGTTTCCTTGATTTTTTGAAGACTGGAAGCTAAGTGGATAGTGGCAGTGTTCTCGAAAAGGCACTTGATTTTTGAAGACTCAGCCTCATTTTAGGCAAATGGAATTAATTGTACACCCTGTCGCTCAGCATCAGGGACCCACTGAGACAGACGAAGATGTGAAGGTAAAGATGAGAGCACATGTTTCTTGTTCTCTTTACTCCATATGGGACTAGAAGGGAAAGTGATGAAAATGTTGCAACACTGATCACTGGAAGTTATGGCTAAGGACACTTTTTCAAGTGCTCTGCAAGCCTGTACAGATACTGTTCCACCGGTTCTGCTCTTTGTAGGAAAGCTTTTTCTCTAGCTATGTCCAACTAGATCGTTTTCCGCTTTTGTATCTTGTAAAGAAGTCTGAAGAAGTCTGTCTACACTCCTCTTCCTCCTCAAAAGAATGTCCTTTACACACTAGCAAGTGTCTGTATAGGATCTGAGATGCCTCCTGAAGGCAAAGACTATTCCCTTAAGCTGGTGTGATGTGACACTTTGAGACAGGGCTATGACAGCTCTTCTCCACACATACATGTGTGCCCAGCACCGTGAGCAGAGCAGCTCTGTTGGGAGATGTGTGTTTTAGTGCTGTGCAGGTGGTTTTCTGATGATGACCTCTATGTTTCCTCAAATATGAGGGCCTGGCGGGGAGGCGGTGGCTGAGATTTCGCTCTTGGGGCTGTGCAAACAAGCTGTCAGCAAAGGGCTCCCAGGGGAGCAATCGCTGCTGCTCTGCTGCCTTCCCGAAGAGCTGCAGGGCCCTGCTCGGGGGTGTCTGCACATCCTGCCAGCACCTCCGTGTCCCTGGTGACCCAGAGTCCCTGCAGGTCTAGCGAGGCCAGCGGCGTGGCCAGCACGGAATGGGGTTTGCAGAACAGGACGGGGAGCTGCGAGGCTCGTGTTGAAGGGCCACCTTCCCCCACAGTGCTGTAAGGACCCAGGTTCCTGTCCCCCCATGCCAAGGAGGTAGCAACCCCACACCTGCAGAAACAGCAGGAGTCCAGCCTGGACCTGGTCTCGCAGAGGTGAGAAACTTCTCGAGGCCCTTAGTAATTTAGGAAACTGGGTCCCGCTGCAAGTCAGCCTCCCCCTCAATTATATCGGTCAGAAAACTGAGATGGGAGAGGAGTGTTTTACCTATTCTCACGCAAGAGACCAGAGGCACAATTCGAGTAAGGCCACAAACCTGGCAGGCGGCACCTGCTCTTGATTTATCTTCCCTTAAGCAGAACAAAGGAGGAGGAATCCAAAGGGGCAGGTAGAGAAAACACATCTGTGTGCACGGACGCCTTGGGATGCTCTTCCCATCCTACTGTGAACCTCTGCAGTTTGAAAGCCTGCAGGCTCCCCAAGTGATGTGTCCTTGTTGCATTTTGTCAGTGGTTGCAAAATATCTCCCTTTCCTGTGAAATTGTTGCGCTTCCCCCCTACAACAAGCACAAATTCAGTCAACTGTTCAGGTTCCCCAGTACCATCGTTCCACTAGGAAGGTTTTCCAATTTCTGTTTAAAGAAACAGTTTGTTTGGCTTCATTTCAAATATTTAGCTCATTTTTTAGCAAGCTCAAAGGTCAGAGTGGGATCTGCAGGTCAGGAGCAGAAAAAAAAAATTGCCTTACATAGTGAAACCCCAAGAGCTAATGAGTTTTGAATGAATGGTCATTCCCCTGACTAAAGTTTTCTAGCATTGAACAGGAGTTTGGAGGGTTGTCGAGTTTTTTTTCCCTTTTCTTCCCGCTTGTGAATGCTGGAGGGGCAAGAGAGCTGTGCACAGTTGCACTTTTGTTAATTTTTGCAGGCTGCGAACCAGTGTGAATAAAAGCGCTTCTGTGAGCAGGGTCCCCTCTCCAGACACGTCACCGACATGAACTCGATGGCGCAGCGTCATTCTCAACAGATTCCGCTCGCGGGCAAGGCATGGCCGGGGGTGACCAAGCCGTCACCCTTGGGGATGCCCCTCACTGCGAGAACACACTCGGGATTGTCCTTGGTCCTGCTGGCCGCGCTCATGAGCCTCGGGCCACTGCTGGCCCGTGACAACATTTTCCATGGAGTTTCTGGTGCGAAGCTTGTAAGATTTCAGAGGAGAAGCAGCTTGTTGCTGCTCTGGATTCTTTCAGTAGTTTCAGTAGTAGTTGTGGAGGAGCTGAAGTGAACGGGTGAAAAGGCATGGTTGTGAAGAGCGAGGCACGCTATGGGGTTTGTCATTTAGTGGTGTCAGTGCTGCCCCATCCTGTGCATAAACAGAGGAGCAGAACTAATGTTCATGTCGGTAATGAGCATACTTGGGAGAATCCTGATTTTTTAGAGGTACAGGGGAAATTGAATTACATCCAGGAGAGCATAGGTAGAATATAGCGATGGACTGTGGAAGTAACTGTGGAGCAGTTAACTCCTGAATTGCTTCTTGGTGAGGAGACAGCTGATGGGAGCAGCACCTGGAGGCCACGGGACTCTGCTGAGTGCCATAGGAGATGAGCACTGAACATCAGATTGGGTTTAAGATGAGGATGGGTAGCCCGGGGGCATGAAGACAGCTGTTAGGGTTTGCACACTGGCACAGGGATTAATCTGCAGGGCCTGCCCCTTCAGAGTCTGCGTTGCCAACAGCTCCTGAGGCGGCTGCTGTCCTCTACCCTTCATTACTCACCCGTCTAACAGTGCCACGCTGCATCTTCCTCCTCTGCCAAGAATGTGGGTGTAATCGTAGATTCAGAACTAACCGTGTTGGAACATATCAAGATCAATCACTTTCCCCCCTTTTAGGACTGCTGCCAAACTACGCCTTTTTCTCCCTGCAGCTGAGAGCGTGGTTTCAACAGCCGAGCATCCTCCTGGACCTGGCTCTAGCAATTCCTTGTTTGCCAGGCCCCACTGTCACTTTATCATCAGGATGTGGCTACTTCTCACTAGGATAAGACCACATGGGTTTTTGGGAGCAGAATGGGTTTCTGATTATAGACTTATGGGTCTCATTGAGTCCAGTGGTAAAGCTTCCATCCAGTATGTCAAGAGCCTGTGTTTTCCATAATGGCATGTTTGTTACTGGAGAGTGGGCTTCTTCATTCTCTCTTCCTCCTTTCTCTTCCATGCAGCTTTTGGTTAAGGCTTTTCATGACCGTGTCACTGTGCTTTGGTTTAGCTCTGGAAGAGACTGTACCAAAGTTTGCTGGATTAGCCTGCTACCTGAGAGGTCCCAGGCAGCAGCCGAGCTTCCAACATTCCAGATTTCCTGATGGAAACTGTATCGTAGTCTCCTAAAAGTCGCACCAAACCGTGCTGGTCCTTCTGGCCTGACACTGCTTTTTTAGCCTGCCCTGGACTACGGAGGCCAGATCTCACATAACGGCACCGAGAAGGGCGCAGAGCCAACCTGCCTGACTGCTTCCAAAGTTGAATAACAGCTGAACTCCCTTTTCATACCCAGCAGCAATCTAGATTTATGAACCTTGCTCAGAGCTACCTGGATTATTGCTTATGGGTAAGGACTTTTTAGGAACGCACCTTTTTATAGAGGCATTACTGTTCTAATTTCTGTTGCTTATATTAATCTTCCTCCTTTTTTAGGACCTGGAAGACTTGGGTTCAAGCCCTTTTGTTAGCACAGACTTTTTACATTACCTTAGGCAGCCCATTAAGTCTCTGTTTCAGTCTCCTAACTGATTAGATGAACAGATGATGCCATATTTTACTAGGAAGATGAATCTAAGACTGCCAGGTGCCCAGTTACTCTGGTTACAGCAGCTGTGAGGATTTTCAAATGACAACTTGATACTCAAACACCTTTATTTTAATTAAAGCTCTTTCAGTTTCATTTGAAATTTGTAGACTATAGGAGAGTTTTAGGCTGAGAATTCGAAGGAAATTAAAAATGGGACAACAAAAGTATTTGAGGGCACAGCTGCCATTTGAAAAGTTAAGTCTCAACATTATAACTGAACAGCAAAGCAGTGTAAGTCGTAAAAGTGTTGAGCACTCATCAGCTGTCTATGCCACAAGATATACTAGCAAGCTAAATAAAGAAGCCATTACTTTGTATTGCACTGTGTAAAAATAAAACAGAACAAACATTAGCAAAGTGGTGCTCTTTCAAAAGAGACCAAGGGCACTGAACTTGGGTGGCAGTTGCCTCTTCTGCTGCAGCGATCTGCCCTGGAAATCAAGCCCTGAAGACTTTGGCCCTGCATATATTTTAGTGCTCACTGGAAACATTACAGCTTTCTGAGAAACTGAGTGGCTTTTTATCCCCTAGCCTATATTGCTTTCAACTAGAGGGTGAGCTGAAGTGCTCCTGATGGTAGCAAAAGGTCCTTGGCAGAACAGGCCCCCTTGGAATTGAATCTTCAGGTTTCATCTCCCAAGAACGTGTTCAAGAGGATTTAGAATTATTATTACCTCTGCACAAAAGATTAACAGATCTTCTGTGCTGTATACAAACTCAGGATAAACTATTCTTAGCTGCTTGTTATAGATAGCTCCTTAAATAGTCTTTGGAAAATATGTGGAGTGATTTCAAAACGTGGAGTAAAAGGAGATGTTGCTGCACGTGGTATACGGCAGATAGACTGAGTGTGCCATTGCCTGATGGGACCTATGCAGAAATACGTCTTTAAATGGACTTATCTTTTTTCCCCTTGTTTTACTGGCTTGCTATCTGCTTTCTTTCTAACCTCTTAAGACAAAAGTTGTATGCTTTGTAGAGGAAATGAGTTCATCTAAAGGCTAAATAAATAGCTGAACAACTCAGAATTTCCCTGTAGTAACCACTTCTGTTTTCATCAGTCTTGGACAAGTAAATTGTTGACACCCCCACACTCTTTGGCTCCCCTCGGTCTACCTTCATCTCTACCCTTTGGGATTCTTGCAGAGTTTTAACTCTTCCAGCCCCAAAGTAGCTTTTTTTTTTTTCCCCTAATTGTGAAATACTTGGTGTGGCAGAGTTACCTTGTCACTGTGCATCCTGTGGTGACAGACACATGTCGCTCTTTGCAAAGGCAGGTAGGAAATGGTAGCTAAGTTTCATGCACCCTGGTGTCCTTGCCTTAAAAGCCACATGGATTGCCAGGGTCAGAGCTCTGAAGAGTTATTGGAGGGAGGAGAGCAGATGGTGAGAGGCCTACAGGCTTGGGGCCTGGTGTGAGCTGCAGATCGAGGTGGTGGTTGCTTTACACCAACTGACTATCAACTGTGCTTGGGCACGTGCATCCTGCATGCACGGGGCAAACCCCCGTCATGGAGCAGGTCCAGGCAGTAGCTTGACTCTTGCACCCCTAGGAAAGAGGGAGGAGATGACTGCAAGTGCAAGGAAGATGCACATCTTTGTAAGCTCTTCAGATCCTGGGCCTGGCAGGAGACAGCACACCAAGGCAGGGAACTTTCTTCCTTTCTAGCAGCTAGTTGATGAGGGTGCTATTAAAGCTGTGTTCCTGCTGGGGTTCAGGGTGCTAGCGTGAAGCTGGCTAGCTCCAACCATATCACAACTGAGGCTTCCTGCCTCAGGCTCCCCTGGTCCTGACTAACACAGGCAACTACCAACTGCCTTTGACTCTGTTTTGTTTGTTTTGTTTCTTTAGGGTCCTCCTGGTCCTCACGGAAACCCTGGCTCACCTGGACCCCCTGGCCTGAAAGTAAGTATTAATTGGCCTGAGGAGCTTTTGTTGTCTTGTTTCAGAAGTCAGAAGTGCAGCCTTTTTCATTCCGCTTCGTAGAAAACGAAGCGCAGCCAAAAACAACTCTCCCCTCTGCTCACATGCAGACCCTCGAGCAGCACAGCAACAGCTTCTCCTATGCTTGTAAGAGACCCTGCAGTGTGTCTTGGATCTCCCTAATTTCAAGGGCTGCCTAATTAGGATCCTCTTTAAAATATGCCTCTGCCAGGCAGTAGTTTGCTGTGTTGAGACCAGGCTGGTGGAATCCTTCTATTCTAAGGCCTCACCAAGTCCTGATTAGCCTCTCCTTTCTTACCCCTCTAGTTTTGCATCCGCGCTGCTGCAGGCAGCAAGCTGAGGAGAGCTGCAGTACTCCCACTTCTTTCTCTCTCTTCCTCCTCCTGATATACTGCCTCCCCTTCCCTCTCCAGAGTTTCTGGATATCCTGGACTCTAAAAGTCCTTCCAAACTGATCCCACTGCTGCCTCATAGTTGCCTTTTTGAATGCAATCTTATATATACAGCTTTGTGTTAGCTAGAGACTGCAAAGCTCCTGGGAAACTGGTGTAGATTGAGTGTTCATTTAATCACAAGTAGGTTTGGGTATGGTAATGCTTATATGGGCCCAAGGAATACTGGGGGCTGGTTGTGAGGGGTAGTGTTTTATTGAGGTTTTCACCAGTAACAGGAAAGCTGTAGGATGTCTCAGCCAAAGAGAGAAGGTGCAAGCAAGACTCCTTTCCTTTCATGATCTCATCAGTAGGCAGAAATGTTATGAACACTATTGATGCTCTGGGAAAGAGATCCTGGAAACTTGGCATGCTGCGTCTATGTGATTAAAAATTAGGCACTGGAGACGTGCTGGTGAACAGCAGCTGTTTTAAATTCTAAAGCATAGTAATATGGCCAGAAAAGTGAGGCTGTAAAAGTTCTACATCTTAGCGTTCTGCATTTATTCTCAATCAATGACTTCCAGATCGCACCAGCTGAGTTTTACAAGTCAAATCAACCCCCTTTTATCTAACATCTAGCCCTGCAAATTCAGCCTGGTCTAGTCTGTAGACTCAAGCAATGTTTCTATGTTATGGGCATTTTATTCTTTTTTCCCTTTTTTACTACCGTTAGCCCAATACTTGTCAGAAACCATCATTTGACTGTAAAACTGTATTGACTTAGCCTTCTGGTACAAATAAAAACTTCCTGCAAGTGCTTTTTTCCATCCTGCTGGGCACTGTGTCTGGCAGCAGAAAGCTTTCAGTGGCCTGGGTGTAATTCCCATCTCCTGCTATGCCGTGATAGCATGATCTTTGTAGAAGAACAACTACATGTTAAGTGTCTCTTAAGTTTCTTTGGTTTGCCCTTTCAGAAGGTATGTACCAGAAGGGATGCGACTTCCTCCTTCTCTTGGTTTTTTTCTGGTTTTATGCCAGTCCCAGAAATAGAACATCTCCCCCAAATTCACCTTCCTCCATTTTAAATGCCTCTTCAACCAGGCATTGACAAGCATGAGCCCATGGGACCTGGCTTCTCCTCAGCATGCAGGGCTGAAGTTACAGGCTTCTGAAAGCTCAATGCAGCTGATCAGGCAAAGCAACCTCAACCAGAACTTCTCCACTTCAGGGCTGTTCAAGTGTCAGTGGGCTGCTCGACTAGACCTGCTGTGGATGGCTCTTAATGCTGTGAAAATAAAAGAGCAATCTGAGAAAGTAAACAGAACTTTCCCAGATAGATATAACTCAGAAATAATGACTAACACCAAGCCAATGTCACTTAGGAACTGAACCAGAAGCACAATTCTTATCAGCTGAATTAACAGTGTAGTCATAAGTTGGACAATCAGCTGCCCAGTTGACTGGACGATTTTACGACTTTACGAGTGCTCCGTTAATTCGGCATACAAGAGCTCTGATACTACAGTGCATCCAGCAGCAATATGCATATTTGTGTTTTGTGTTGGTTTGCATCTCTTGTCCAGTCGTATCAAATTAGTGAGCGTTGTGTTGTCAGACTGTCTCGTTTCTGAATCTCTCCTGTGCAGGAAGTCCATCTTCTTCTCATCACTGGAGTTGAGCACTTGCGAGGCCTTGGTCTTTGCTGAGCTTTTGCACAGAGTTGTACATAGCTCCTGCTGATCTGTTTGGACACAGTTCCACTGGCTTCAGTGGCGTTCCACCCACTCACACCACCGGAGTATTTAGCCCATCATGCTTTTCTCAAATTTATAAGGATCAACTGCTTAAAGAGACCTTCTTGACACTTTCTGCGTTTTGTTTGTTGATGTTGGCAGTTGCAAAATTACTGTTGCATCTCATTTGTGGAGGTTCTGATTGTGTTAGACATGCTGTTAATCTGCTGTAGACACACGTTGGAGTAGGGGCCCTGCTGGCTGCCTGACCTGCAAGCTGATGGAGGGATTGAAGGGACGTTCCCACTGCTGGCTAGATGGAGCTCTGAGGATGTCCTGGTAGTGTTTGGGACTGGGAGGAGAGTTAGCTCGGAGGCAGGGGGACTTTCCTAAGCTGTAACAAGAGTTGAGTTTGCATTCTTGCATCTGGAGGCTTTTGACCCTCAATCTTTAGTATGTTTTGCTTAGGTAGCTGCTCTTCATAAATCTCCCTTTTAGTGCTAGGGAGAGCTGGCTTTTCCTGCGGGTGAGTATTTGGCTCCAAGACCACTGATATTTAAAACACTTAGCAGGATTGCAAAACTGGTACGTTTAAACTGCACATCTTTAGACTTCTTTTGGATAGTGAAAAAATGGACGAAAAAGGTCTCTTTTTAAGATGAAGCAATATTCATTCCTTTCGGTTGGTTAGTGGGGGTGGGGAAGCGAGGGACTTGTGGGCAAGATGCTGAGGCTTAGCAATGGACAAGGCTTGGGGTAATTCTCATGTTGTGGTTGCTGCAAGAGAAGAGTTGGACAGTTAACCTGCAGTCTCAGCCCTCAGCATCCAGACGTCTGTTCTCTCCGGCCCTGCTGCAGTGTTAGTGATTAGTTTTGGGGAAGCGTGATCTTGCTGTGGTGAGGTCCCCATCTGCATCACGTGCAAGGCGTAGGATTAATCTACGTTTTTGCGGGCTTCCCAGTGGAAAATCATGAGAATTTCTCTTCCTTTACACTGCTTGGTGTCCTTGTGCTGAGCAGATGGCAAGATTAATGGAGGGTAGTGGGTGTCTACCTGCAGCAGTAAATTGATTTTCGAAGTACAGAGATGAACACTCTGCAACCCTGATACTGCTCTAACCCGTTCCAAGTAGTCCTAGCACCCACAGCCTGCTCTGAAGTTCAAAGAGTGGGAGAACTGCCCTGATAACAACTGTGTGCAAAGCAAGATGATCTGCATGACTTCATTTACTGTTTGAAAACTAGGCAGTCTTCATTCAGAGTTTGTATGGACACATCTGCCTTGAATCAGCAGTGCTCCCTACAGTCCATAGCTAAGCAGTCGCGGTCCCCGAACCTTGTAACTTGTGGTGACTAGTGAAGGAGGAGGGGAGCTTTACATCCAGTGCGAGGTCGGGAGTGTCCAACATAACCGTGTAGTTGCAGTGAGGCTGCACGGAAAATCTACTCAGCTAGTTATAACTAGACCTTTGTGCCACTAACGAGAAGTGCCAGTTAATAAGTACTATTACTGTTTCGTTAGGGTCTCACCTTCCCTTCAGCACTTCAAAGCACTTGACAACTATTAATTAACCCTCAACCATCCCATGCTTGGGTGGTTAGTTTTGAATCGCAGGTTGCTGGTGTGGCATAAGAGGTTGTGACTTGCTCATGATGCCGAGGGTGTTAAAAGGCCAGTGCCTGATGCTGGCATCTGTGACCCAGCTGTACTAGAAAAGATATAATACAGATCTAAAATTCTTGTGTGCTAAGCCTTACCTCTTCTCAGCTCAGGCAATCTGACATGTTTCAGATCTCTTCTCCTTTTTCCTTTTCTATATCAAGCTCCTTTGGTATTTACACCACCTTTTAAGATTTTAACCTAGGACTTCTAAAGGAAGCTACTGGAATTAGGTGCTCAAATGCTGCTTAAATTCCATGCTGTGTTTGTCAAAATATCAGTCTTAAATTGTGATTTCTCTTGCCATAGTTGTTAACAGGGAGTATAAAGAATACGGCCACTTAAGACAGTGTGTCTCCTTCTCCTGCCAACCCCACAATTGCTCTAGCTGCTGCTAGCATCTAATTAGTGTAACTTTCTCTGGTTTCATTTGTTTCTCACAATTAAAGAAAGCAACAACATCTAGTAAGTTGTTAAACAGGATGGTTTAGACACAGCAATGGCCTTGGTAGTTATTTTTGTGATGGTAGTTTATAGACAAGAAAGAAAACAGAGCTGTCTAGTCTAATAATTATCAAAAATCATAGCATTGCCTTCTTCCAGATATCCTTTCTTCAGTCAATTTAATACTGTCAAATATAATTTAAAAATCTTGATCAGCGGCAAATTGGCAGCAAAACCAGCCCCAGCAAAACAGAACTATGCATAGGAACTTTAATACATTTGAGATATGGGGGCAAGACAGAGACAAAGCAAAATGTTTTTCTAATTTGGGGGTTGGCTGAAACAAGACCACATCTGTGAGCTAAGTCCTTTGATTACATCATTAATTTAAATTTTTCATTTCCAGGGTCAGAAGGGTGATCCTGGGCTGTCACCTGGAAAAGCTCGCAACGGACCTAAGGTAAGATGTTCCCACAGGCATTAGGAGGCCATTCCACTAAACCCTGAGCACACAGGGAAGGAGTCCGTACTCCAGCCACAAGCCCAACAGAAACTCAAGTAGATATTGGGCTAAAAATTAAGACTTAGGCCCTGGACTCGGGACTAAAGAGTTAGCTGAGGTATTGACCAAGGTGCACTGCCACAGCTGCTGGTCATTGAAGTGTTTATCCATCCTATGTGTGATCTGCAGTCTGTTCATCAGTCCTTCCTGGCAAAAGCATACAGCTACTTAAGGTAAGCATTTAAGTTAGGAGATACATAGCTGTGTGATGTCTATCCCCCCAGAGATATGCATGTAGAAAGAAGTAATCCTAATCTAAGCAATAAAACCCTTTAAAGCCAAGGAAATGGCTCCTTGGAGGAACCGAGGTATGTGGTCCTCAGCAGACTGATGCTCTGAGGGCAGCCTGGTAGGAAGAGAAAGGTGAGCTCCTCAGGCTACTGCACTGCAGATACATCAGCCTCACTGTGTGCTTAGGAGAGGCCTTTTTACAAGGTCTGCTCAAATTGTCAGAAACTGCATACTTTGGAAGGTGTAGCCTTGTTTTTAGATCTGGCAATTGCTAAAGATTAGAGTTCCCCTGCTAATTCTTTTCCATGTTACAGCCCACATCTTTGCTTTCTATACAGTTGAATGACTTTTACTGAGGCCACAAAGCCTCACATAAATCTAGAAATGTGCAAAAGAACGATCAGAGCTTCACATCTACCTCAATTAGTTCTTTCAGTGGTGCCTGTACAGAACTCCATAACTCATATTCAGGGCAAGAAGCCTGGTTCTCTTCATTTCATCATGAGCCTTGCTATAAATGCACAACTAATAGAAAGCATCAGCCAGGAAGAAACTAGGCCTTTAGTTTGAAACCAGATGTGCAGACAAAGTACAGCAAGCCACGCAAATGTGGGGTGCATGATGACGCTAGAAAACACTGGGATGGCTAAGTTTGAAGTGATACTTTTAACTTAACAGCACGAGATGCCGTTTGAAACTTCTGGTGCTGCGTTCGAATGGCATCACATGGAAACCATCCACCCGCACAATCTGGAACCATTTTCTTGCTCATTGTAAGGAAGGGAGAGATCCAGTTCGCTTTTAGCTCATGTTAACAAGGCTTTGTTCCTGTTAGCAGTAATAGAAACAAGGAGTTTCCAGCAGGAGTTTTCAGGGTTGCCTAATTTTCAAGTAGTTACTCGGAATACATTTTCAGTAAACAGGCACAGCAACTTGTGTTAAAACCTCAGGGCTCTTTGATCCTAATCAGAAGAGACCAAAATGGACTTGTCCAAAATGATTGGACATTGGAGAGGTCCCACACCAAACTGCTTAACCATTCCTATGATAGTTTGGGTATGCCACTTGGGATGGGATACCATCCCCTTCCAGAAAAATAATAAAATCCCTGAAAAATACCTCCCACAAGCAGCCTGCCCATATACTGTGTAGGCAGGTTAAATAATTATACAGCCAGGGCCATCTGAACTGGAGCTGTGGATCAAGCCAATGCAGTAGCAGAATATGAGCACAAGCACAGGAGTTGGCAGGAGGTACCTGTTCTCGTTGCACTTAAAAGCATTTTCCTGCCTTGGCCATTTAAATGCCCATCGAAAGGCAAATGAAGCATGTGGCTGAATGAGATCATTGAAAAGAAGGCATTCATTCTGCTGTTGAAGCTGGACTCCAGCAGCAGCTGCCATTAATTAACTGGGCTTTTTATTTATATGAGCCAGTTAATAGAGATGATGTTTAAATCTGTGCTTCTTTTCCAGTCAATTATTGAAGAACTGTGATTAAAATCAGAAATGTCAATCATTGGGTACTATTACAGGCAAAGTAATTTCAATAACAGTGTACTACGCACAGAGAAAATACTGCTGAAAATTAATATGGCTTTCTTGCTTCCTGCAGGGAGACGTGGGCTTACCTGGTTTGACTGGGTTTCCTGGACCACCTGGTCGAAAGGTAAGAATATGTCTTTTTCTACCAACTTAGGTTAGCATTTTTATTATAAAATATGCTCCTGTAATTCTTGCAGTTGCAAGAATTCTAAATACTTCCTAAAAGATTTAAGCAAGCTCTAATACTCCCTAACGATAGCTTATTCCTGTCCCAGAAGCGTTTAAGTAGTATAGGACTGAAACAATGTCCTAAAGGCTTTGCTAGCAAGACTGTATAGGAATGCTGAATAACATGTTGGATCCGGATTTCCTTCTTGGAAGGATATTTTTTGGATCCTCCTTTCTCAAATCCATGTCCTTTTGCACTGTATTATCCCTTTGTACCCTGACACTGGTGGTTCTTCAGGAAGCTGAGTTTAGATCTAGTTCAACTAATATGATAGTTAAATAGACCCACAACCTGCATAAGCACTCAAAATTTGGATTTGGGACTCATATAAACGCTCCAAGGAAAACCTGGCTAGATATCTCTCCTAATTTCAGAGGAGCTGTCCACATTCCTCATGCACCCCAGCTTTTTATTTTTCTTTTGAGATAGGATCAGGGAGGTTTTGCTTTATTTGTTTCCATTATTGATGTTTCAGCAATGCTCTCACCATAAACATACCTGTGCCAATAGAGAGGATAAGTAGGAGCAGAGCACAAAGATCCACCACTGCCTTTGTGCTGCAGCAGTGCACGTGTTGACGAATGCAAGTACACACAGCAACATCTTAATTACCCACAGCTTAAGCTCATGTCCTCTGTATACTGAGGCCACTTCAGTTGATCTTTCAATTCCAGTCTCTGTTGGTAGGGTGGCTTGTTTTTTCTGGAAGCTGGGTTTGTTGCATGTAGTTGGGAGCTGTTTGCTTTGTGAGAAATGGGCTCAGTGGACATCAATCCCCTGTCCTGTGAGCAAATATTGACATGGCAAAGCTAAGCAGTTAAAATTGGCATCTTGTTTTAATCACTTCATCAGTCAGTGGGCCATTAAAGGTGCATACTCAGGTATACTTTATGGCTCCAGAGAGAGAAAGAGGTTGTGGGGTTGAAAGGAACCTTCCTCCTGCCAAGAGGAGGGGCTGCATTCATCTTTATGCCCAAAGCTGGTCATGCTTGAAGCACTGTGTGGAGCTAGGAGCAATGGAGTGTTTGGTTAATGACCTTTTGCAGTCACAATCAAGTTGTAACAAGGATGGTCTAGAGAATACCATCTTCTTGGTGCAACGACTTACAAAACAAAATTTTGATTTTCAAAATTGGAGGGGAAAAAAAAAGTGAAGGAAGAGAAGACTGAATAAACATTGCAGCACATGGCCTTCGCAGCTGATCTTAGTTCCCTCAGGACAGGGTAAAGGCTTCTGTTTCTTCAAGCAATGAGCAAATTTGGTCCCAACTTTTTTCCTTCGGTGTAGCTTAAAAAAACACCTCACAGTAGCTCTAGCTCAGCAGTGTTATTAGTGTCCTGCATCAGAAAAAAAATTACAGCTGTTGGAGAAACATTTGGAAAAATCTTTTTATCTGGATTCCCTTCTGGCATCCTACCATTGCAAATATGCTGGTGTTTGGCTGAAGATGGACAGCAACATCTTGGCTGCAAGAGAACAGCAAAGCTTTAGAAATGACTGTAAGAACCAAATTTCTCCTGTGGAGGGACTACAAAAAGTGCTCTGCAGGCTTTCATCTGAAAAGTCCATGTAGAAACTTTCAGATAGCAGAAATTTGTCTCAGGGAAAATGAAGCACTTTTCTCCCTGGAGGAAACAAGTGTCTCAGAAGCATAGGCTGGAGCCACAACTAAATGTCACATGGTTTTGGGTGGCATTGGTCACATCACAGCCTCTGCTTGTGTTACGGGTGCACAGACCTTTGCTCTTTGGAGAGCTTTAGGAAATCTGACCTCAGACCTGGTGTCTGCTCTGTCCTTCCCTCCTAGTGCCTGGGAGGTATCTCTGGGCTTGGCCTTTTGGCTGTGGACCCCTCTGGTGTGATCTCAGCCAGGTGCTGAGCTGCAGCTCCCAGTCTCAAGCACAGCCGAGAAAACGGCCACGGCAAAGCGCAAGGTTGAACCCGATGGCAGAAGCGAGGGAGTAAAAAGCTTGGCCGAAAATACACGGGGAGCAAAGGCAGAGCCCAGAATAGGTCCAGGTTTCAGAATGCACCCTACGGCGTCGACCACGCTCCTTGGCCTCTTTACTCTTTACCTTTCCTATTGATGTATAGGTCCTTTTTAGCTAGGGTAGTGTGAGTTATAAATATCACAGATGAGTGGATCTTCCACTGGAGTGCAATTTCCTTTCTAAATCACAGCCCTTTGTGTTGAACACCCTGTAATCATCAGGAAGTGTTTGGATAAAAGAGCAAACGCAGTTGTTTTCATACCCTCTGCCCTGTCATTTTAGTGCTATTTGAAGAGGATTGCAGCAGGTAAACACTTTCACATTCCAGCCAACTTTTATCACATGGAAGCTTTTTTGTTTTTTCCTCACTATGATTAACCCGAGACAGACATAACTGCAGGATAATTTGAAGAAACACACGTTCCATGCTCCCCGGGGCTTGCTATAAATACTGAGGAGGGTATTAAATAGGATGCAAAAGTAGAAGGGTGTCTACATGTTTAGCTTGAGGCATTTGCTTTCCATTATAGAGATAGCAAGGCAGTGCTCCGTGCAGACAGAACTCTGGCATGGTTTTAGGGTCTCAGGGGGCTATAGTCCAGCCACCTGCTTTAGGTAGACAACAGAGTGTTGAAACTCCCATCTCCTGGGAACCCAATCGAGTGCAGTGATTAGAGCAGCTAAGCCAGACACCTCTTTCATATCAGTGGAAGGCGCGTGATACCTCTGGGCACGTGCCTATATACAGCGAGGTGCCCCAGCTGCCTGCAAGCAAAGGTGACCCCTGCTCTGGGCTGTGCTGGAGGAGTCCCCTGGGCTCCATGCTGAATCCCAGACACGTCTGGATGCTCTGGGCTGTTTCTGTTGGCACCTGTCTCTGGCAGGGACAAGATGGGGGCCCAAGCAGATGCTCTGGTGTTTGCACAACGTCCTGCTGGTCTGAGCTGCATGGATGGGCAATACGGGCACTGGGCTTTCTGCACTCGGGAGGGTCTGCACCCATTCACTGTTTCTGGGGAAGGACTGGGGGTCCTATCATTTGGTCCTACCTCCAGGAACTTCCTATTTAGGAGCCACAGGGTGAAATGCATCCACAGCTTTAGGAGGAAGGCTCTTCAAGGAGATTCAGGTAAGGGACGACTGGTGGCAAAATCATCTCTTAGGTTTCTGACCTTCTTGCAGGGTGACAGCTCAATCAGAAGACGGGGCTATGATACACGAGCAAGGTCAAGCAGCAGAAAATGAGTGAAGAGGGAATCAACATTTTTTCCAGGCCAGAATGTCTGAAATAACGAGCAAGGAGGAATGCGAAGGGGAGCGGGTAGTAGCCAGGATGGCTGAGAGCACCACATGGCTCCGCCAGCAAAGGCTTAGGCTGCAGGTCTAGAATAGCCCATGGGAAGAATAAAAAGGCAGTTAAGCTGAGGTGTGGACTTGGGATCAGAAACAGCCCTGGGTTCATGTGGTGAGTGAAGCAAAAGGCCAGGTCCTTGGCCAGAGGAGAGTTCATGGCTTGCAGTGCTGGGGATGCTCCCCAACGGACTGCGCTGTTTTGGGAGCCCCTTGTTAAGGCAGGGTGAGCAGGAGAGACTGAATTACAATTAGCAGCTGCAACCCATCTAAAACCATTTTGTGATTTCTGTCATGTGTGTGCAAGGACTGTTGCTTGTTTATTCTTTCTCCCCATTTGTTTCAAGTTACATTCTTCTGCTCTTTCAATCTTGCTAATAGCCCAGCTGAAGAGTCGTCTCTGTAACTGAATTTAATCTTCTAATCTGCTCTGACTCCACTTGATGGAAACAAGTTTATTTTAAATAGCTGAAGCAACGTAATAAAGGGAGAAAGGAAAAAAGCTCAAGTGCTTGCCACTTGCAGGCTTTACTTAATGCTCAAAGAGAGCTCTAAGTAAATCCTGGAGAAATTGTGCTCTTTAAAAATACACACTCAACAATCTGTGAAGGGGCAGACTGGCTGTGTCCCATCTCAGGGTCTGTATCTCCAAAAGACTGAAAAATTGAAGCAGGTTTGTTTATGAAAGACCTGTGAGAATGGTTTGAAGTCTGCAACGCTTTCCAGCTAGAAGGATTAAGAAACTCATTAATTCAGCAGAGAGCAGGTGAAGAGACAGCTTGCTCACCATTTTAGGTAGCTTCCTAATAAAGGACTCTGGATCTTGTCATGCCGTGTGATAATTAGATCAGAAAAACTGGAAACTAGACAGATTCGAGCAGCAAACAAAGCAAAAACTTCCTGTGACAGTAGGTGGATATTGTGGTGTTTCCTGTGGCATTGCAAGTTCTCAAGTCAAAGGCTGCACTCTCTAAAATGGAATAGACCTATGTCATGCAGGGCTTGGTTTTGAAGAGCGGGATGAAATTATATGAATCCTGGTAGGCAGAAATGATCAGCTTTCACCGTGAGCTTGAATTCCAATCCATCTATGGTTGAAATCCATGTTTTTCTGAAACCAAAGGTGAAAGTCCCACTTGCTTGTCCAAAGCCAACATTTTACCCTACAAATCTGAAGTTTTCTAGAGATTAAGGAAAATATGTAATTGTGTAACTTACAAATTTCAGATCTTCATGCAGATACAGTTCTTTAAGGCTAATCCTCCAGGAACTCTGATCCTCTGCTTCTTGCTCGCAGTTCCCCAGTAAGTCAGTCAGGTAAATAAAGGCTACCCTGGACCACCAGGTCACCCTGGAGAGCAGGTGGGTCATCCCAGTTTCCCAACACTGAACCTTCAAAGATAGATGCTTTTAATGACTCTGGTGCTTTTTTGGGTCCTGTGCAGCCTGTTTGGCACGGACAGTGAGCTCCTTCTAGGGGCAGTTTTGTACACACTTAGTGCATACAGTGAACTGCCTTGCTGTGGGGGCCTGTGCACGTGCATTGGCTGAGCATCAGTAGGGTGGTGGGAGGAGACTGCTTTGGAATTGTTAAATTTAATTTTTAATTTTTATTGCTCAAATGAACTAAGTTTATGTGGTGGAAAAAAATACCAGTTTATCCTACACACCTTTTCTTTCCCCTTTTACATTAATTTCATCTGGAGTTTACTAACCACATCATATTAAGCACTAACATGTAATTCCCCTCCCAAACCTCTTTCTCCCTTCCCCCTTTTCCCTCTCCCTTTTATTTGGTTAAGTCTGTTTGCAGTTCAGAGAACGAAAAAAAAAAAAAGGGGCAATGAATAGCAGGCCCTGTTAGCAATGATGTTAAAGGATATTATACATGAATCCATTTAGTTTTGAAGAATTTTGGCAGTAAAACGGTTCCATATGCCAGATATAGATGCAGCCTTACACCTTCTCTTAGCCTCCTTGTTTCAAACTATCTGCTGGTTTCACTGCAGATGGGGGGAGAAGGAGACATGGCAGCAGTTTCTTAATGCACAGATCCTGCTGAGTTGGCCTCTGCATATTTTTTTTCCCTTTCATCAATTTATTCCACTGTCTTCCTTTAATTCTTTTTTTTTCTCTTGGTAATTTTGCATCGAGTTAATCTACCCTCCTTTCCCACCAACTCCAAGAATGAAGCAGCTAAAGACTTCCCCCATGTGCTGTTAACCTTGCCTTCTTGTGCTTTTTTTCTCTTTAAAGGGCGAACGAGGACCAGATGGAAGTCCAGGTGCCAAAGGTTATCCTGGCAGGCAGGTGCAGTAAATCTCATCGTGCTGTGCACAGACTAGGGATTTGGGTGTGCAGGTAGCTAAATACAAGCCCCACTAAATACAGTGTAGACTTATGGAATATGTCTCTTTTTTCCTTCTTCTCTGTCAAGATGTTGCATCAGTGACATGGCCTTTGTGGGAAGCACTAAGGTTGATGGAAAGTACTTTCTGTCTGTGATATTCAGAACTTGAATTTTGGTAGCAAAATTTGACTAAATTTTTTTCTTCGTTATAAGAATAGAGGAAACACAGCAGAGTAGAGAAACATAACTGTGCACTGCTAGCCCTGTGCTTTCAGGCAAGCTTTTATGTCTAATGTTGAAGAGGCAAGTAAGATAGGACAGAAGAGGGCATATTACTGAAAGAAAAGATTTCCCACTGGAAAACTTCGTTGGCATAAATATATATATTCATATGCATAAAGTTATACGTGGAGTACAAATACATATAAAATTATTTCTGCAGCTGCAAAAAAAGTAAACAAAAGAAATAGGTGTTTGTTTTCTATTTGAAAAGAATGCACTTAAGACAACTTTAGGAATGGAGGAGTATGGAAAGGAAAATGGGTTAGGATAGGATTATTCTTTTCTTACTGATGTAAGATGCTGAAGAGTAAGAAGAAAAGCAAGGGAAGAATTTGAACTGAAATCTGCATCCCTAGGGCAGGAGACCTGACCCTGTAAAATCCTCAGTGAAACAAGTTTGTCATGGCCTTCTAAGACAAGCACGTTAGTGCTGGGTTCCCCCATGCTCATATTTACCTATTTAGTAAAGAGTCTCAACAGGTGGCAGAGACCCCAGTCAGCCATTCCCATGTATCCATCA